GTCTCCCGTGATGCTGCATAATACATGATCCTGCATTATGCTCAAAGAGTGGGACTTTGTTATGCGGCAGTAGTGCCGCTGGCCACTAACAGCTGTTAGCGGCGCAGTAATGCGAGGAGAGGGATGAGGTGTGTGAGGTTGAGCCACTTGTCAGTTGTCAAAGGACAAGACGTGATTGGTTTGTTTCAATTTACATCCGCCCCAACAGTCCTACGTTGTAAACAGCCAGCATGGTGAGGAGGGGGTTTGTCAACTCGCGTCGTGTGTGTCTGTGTAGGAGCCTGAATGAATACTCCATGTAGTATCGGGTGACATGGTTTCATCAGTGTTATCATAGCTTTTTGGTACACAGCGGCTGCTGTTGTTGCAATACGTGTTTGAAACAGTGAGGCGCTAGAGTGCGCCATCTGTTTGAATACAATATATGATTTCAACGTTAGATGGGAGAAATTCCTACACACTGTGGCTTTAAAGATGAGTCTCTTAAAACAGCCTGGCTTAATCTCATACTTCCACCTCTCTAAGTCATTCCAAAAGTCTATTTTGCTGAATAAACTCCACTGTTGCTTTGCCATTGCTATTAAATCTATCACACCAAATGCAGCTCAGATCAACAAAATCAGTACCAAAGAATAAAAGATCTCTAACCCTAACTCTAAATTAAAAACAACACAACCCAACACATTACAAATGATAAACGAAATCTAAGTAACATAACATCCACATAACAATAAACGAGATCTTCACCCACCTGCCAGGATATTTAATGGAGTATGACACAGCCAGGTATCCTCCCAGGTTGTGCCCCAGCAGTATCATGGACTCCAGACCAACTTTAGCCCTCCATTGCTCTATAGACTCAACAAACTGGTCCTCTGCCTCCTGGGCATTTGTGGAGAACAGAGGCCTGCTGCTCCGTCCAAAGCCCAGCAGGTCCATGGCAAAGACAGGCCGATGCTGAGAGAGAGCATCCAGGTTCTGAGCCCAAAGGCCCACACCACCTCCAAACCCATGGAGCAGAACCATGGGGGATTTGTGCTTGACATGGTCCCTATTAAAGGTCAGGGTCCACAGCAGGTTACTGTTGGAGATGGGGACATACTGTTTGAAGAACGTGCTGTTCACACCTGAAAAGAAAAAAAGAGAAGTGCAAGGAAGTATACTAAAAAAGAACATAAAAAACGGTGTGATAATTTCTTTTAATTGAAAGGGAAAAACAGAAATTGGTCATTCAGTACGTTTATATGGACAGTTTAATTCCACTTTCATTTGGAATGAAAGGCCATTCCAACTAAAAGTGGTCATGTAAACGGTCATTCCGATTGAAAAATGGTCATTCTGTTTGAAAATTAAATCCGATTAAAGGGGGTGGTTTATTCCTTTTGTCATTCCTAATGAAAGAATTTTGTGTGCATGTATATTCTCATTCCTCTTTAAGTTCATTCCGGTCTTTCTGCGCATGCTCGTTTCCTTGCCCTTCTGGTGCGATGACATATATAGCGTGCATAGCAACGGGCTGAGATAGAGCAGTCGGACTCGTTGCACTCACCGGTTTCCATTCGCCACAGCACGGTCTTCTACCTCTCTTCTCCTCCTCAACAGACGAAGCATTAGCAGAACAAGGTTGTTGTCGTACTGCTGCTTCAAGAATATAAGCAAAACAAGCTAGAAAAAGGCACTAAGAATAGCGTCGTCAAGCATCTTGTTATCCAGAGAGAGGACTACAGTGTTTTCTTCTGGTAAATGTAAACATGTAACATCCGCCGCTATCCAATCAGAAACCTTCCCTGCCCCAAATCTTGCGCAGACCCGAATAAAGGCGATTACACTGATCTCCAGTGTCATTCGGAATGAATATTTCTCATGTAAACTACCCGGAAAAACTTTAATTCCCAATGATTTCATTCAGATTTATTTCATTCTGAATGAGAAGCCATCATGCAACCGTACCCAATGATACAGTTGTACTACCTCACTCTTATGTAATGTCATTTGTGTTTTGTTGTTGGTTGGTCGATTTGACCAATTGCTCTTTGGCATCATGTTTGAGTATGATGCTTTAAGACCCAAGTGCCAAGACCACTTCTCTGTGTCACAATTCAGTAGATGTCTTCACACTGTACGAAACTAGCAGTAAATTAAGTTGTGTCATACAATAATTACTGTTTTCATTAATAAAGCTCCCACATTATGACAGTCTAAAAAGAAGCTGATCCTTACATCGAAGCATCATGTCCTCTGCAGTCTGTAGCATGATCTGAGAGGTGGGACACCATGATGGCAGCCAGCTGAGGATCCAGCACTGCCTGCACAGACAGAGTGATATGAAATACAGAAGGGAAATGGTGTCACTGCAGTGTGGGACTATACTTTAAGGTATGTTAGCAAAACAGCCTGTCACAGGTTACAGTGTGATGATTAGAGAAGAAAAGGCAGAGCATTAAGGTCCAGGTGGAGAAAAAAAATTGCAAAAAGATAAGGAAATCACCTGTTGATTTACATATATAGATCCCTTCACGTTTATTCAAAACAATACAGCACTGTAAACAGTCTTGTGATTTAGAGAGTAACTAAACCGCCCAACCAGTTCTTTAAGCTGTCACTAATGTACGGTTATTTAGTAGTGCTGTTAATGGATTCAGGTCAGAGTCCTGACATTTTAGTGCAAAGTATTTGAATTCTACATCCATTTATCCATCTGTCCATTCATCCATGCATTCATCCATGCATTTGTCAACTGCTTATCTGAAGCTGGGCCGCAGGGGCAGCAGGCTGAGCCAAGTACTTCAGATGTCCCTCACCCCAGAAATGCTTTCAAGCTCCCCCTGTGGGATCTGGCGGCGTTCCCAGGCCAGATGAGATATAAAATCCCTCCAGTGTGTTCTGGGCCTGCCCCGGGACCTCCCAGCAGTTGGACATGCCTGGAACACCTTTCACAGGCGCCTAGGAGGCATCCTGATCAGATGCCCAAACCACAAGTGGCCTCCTTTGACGTGAAAGACCAGCGGCTATACGATGAGCTTTCTCCGGTGTTCAAAGCACCTTGGTTTCCCCTGTCTCTAAGGCTGAGCCCAGCCACCTTTCACAGGAAACTCAATTCGGCCACTTGTATCTGCAATTTCTTTCTTTCGGTCACTACCCAAAGCCATAGGTGAGGGTTGGGACATAGATGCACCAGTAAGTCGAAAGCTTTGCCTTTTGACCCAGCTCTCTCTTCACCACAACAGTCCAGCGCAGCACCCACATCGCTGCAGGCGCCCCGCCAAATCGCCGATCCACCTACCCTCCCTCGTGAACAAGACCCTGTGATACTTCTACATATTGTGTTATGAATGTGCATAGTAACTGCTCCCGACTAGTTGAAACCCTATTATTGCAATTAAGTTTTGCTGTTGGTTGATCTGGTGGCAGGTGCCTTATATGGTGGCAGCTTTTGTGACCAACCACTGGGGGGTGGTTAGGCAGGGGGGTCTCCTCTCCTCTGCAGCACAAAGGAATAACTGGGTAAGTCAAAAGGTTGATTTTTTTTTGAAACTTTTTATTGAAATATTTCATTAATTTTACAAAACAATTAAAAACAATTCCTGACATAGGACAACACTGAACAAAACAACAACCTCAGCAAATACATACGAACACAACACTGAACACAACACCGAACACTGAACACAACACCGAATATATATATATATACATATCTCAGCACATATATATACACAAAACACAAAACACAAAACAAACAAACTACAAAAAAAAGGGGGGGGGACAAACAGGTATAGGAGCAGCAAGTCCATCATGCACAGAGAAACTCAAAAACACACCATCCCTGATACTCTACCCCAACAACCCCACCCACCCCATTTCATCAAATGATAGATATTGTGAAACGTAAGTCCATCTCCTCTCAAAAGTGTCCATAGTCGTCTGCAAAATTGCAGTCATTTTTTCCATCATGTAAACACTCTTCAGTCTCTGCCTCCATTGAGATACATTTGGTGGTTTTGCAGTCTTCCAGTTCACTGCAGTCATTTTCTTTGCAATCAGTAAAAGAATTCTAAGAATATATCGCTGATCTGCATTATATTGATCTTTAGATATGGCACCTAACAAAAACAAAAATGGTGGAAATACGGCTGCAGAGTGAGTAAGCTGTTCTGAGCTGGTGTCTGCTTGCCTTTTCTTCCTGAACTTGTGGCATTTCATGGCTTCCTACTCACATCATTTCTAAATAATCATCTCCACCCGGATTAAACAACTGGAAAAGGATAACTCCTACCTTATGGATAAAGTTGACGATCTTGAGAACAGGACAAGGTCTGCCAATCTCCGCTTTGTCAGAGTACCTGAATCCTCCAAAGGCTACGACATACACCGGTTCATGGCCCGCTCGATCCCTCAACTCCTAGGCCAGGAGAACTTCCCCTTGCCAAACTTCAGCACTTTTAGGATAAGGTAAAGATTCTTCGACTCGCCCGTGAAAATAAAGAGCTGATATTCAATGGGAACCATATCTTCATTTACCCCGACTACAGTGCAGACCTGACGAGGAGGCGCCGGTCCTTCAACCCGCTGAAACGCAGGCTCCGGGAGCTTAAATTAAAGTATTCCCTCTGATATCCCTGCACTTTGTGTGTGTGGGTCGATGGCAATGAACAAAAATTCAGCGATCACAAAGACGCTGAAACCGCTTTCATGCCACCTATGAAGTCCTCCATGAACTCTTCAACTTAACGTTAAACTTCTGCTGATACTGATGGCTGGCTTCGGTCTGCTTTCTGCCATGGAGTTGGTGAAACCGTCCTGCTATAACTCCAAGTCAACACTCTTTGGCTTTACGGTCAGTGCCTTTTGAAGTTGTTCATTGATACTGCCTTCTGTTGTCATTGTTTTTTCTGGGGTTTTTTTTTGCTGCTGTGATTGTATTGTTTATATTCAGTACAGATGATTTTTCTTTCACTTCTTATTAAAACTGTTATTGCGCTGCAACAAGTTTTCTGATGAGTCTTGTTATCCAGCCATCATAGTTATTTATAAGCAGCAGCCTTCTTTATTTCATAAGGCTCTGGTTTTTTGTTTCTTTAATTTTGAGTTCTCTAAGCTACATTTATAAAACTTTCCAATGAAGCAGATCAGCAGTTCTGATTGATTGTGGTTTTGGCTTATTATCCAAAACCTATGGGCCCATGTGGTCCTGGGTCCATTGTTTGGCCATTTTGTTCTTTTTTGTTTGTGTTTGTGTGTGTGCTTGTTTTGTGTCTGACCAACTTGTCCTGTCTGTGTCTAGTTACTGTATGTGCTTTTGTGTGAGTGCTTTCATGTTTGTGTGGTCTCTTCATCTGTTATTTGCTGTTCTCCCACTCCCTGTCACCTTTTCCCCTCAACTTTTTTGTTTTTCTTGACCTGGTGTTTTCATTGTTTCCACTGGCATAATTGAATCAGTTAAAGGTTTAAAAGTTATTCATCTCAATATTAGAAGCCTCGCTTCTAAAATTGATTCCCTCAGCGCCTGGGTTACTCTTTACAAACCTAATATCATCACAATCTCTGAAACATGGTTACATAGCAACATTGGTAATGATGAAATTAAAATTGATAATTTTGTTTTGTATAGAGCTGACAGAGCTTCTAGGGGAGGTGGGGTGGCCACATATGTTGCTGCAAATCTTGTTGCTGAGCGTGTTACTCCTACTGTAGAACCACTTAATTTTGAATGAATTTTTATTTTCATTAGTCTCCATGAAAACAAAACATTTAACTATTGGCAACATTTATAGCCCTTCATCTGCTCCAAGTGACTCTACAATGTGCATTTTGTCCACTATTAATTCTCTCAAGAAACACAATGAAATGATAATCCTAGGTGACTTCAACATTAATTGGCTTGACCATTCCTCTTCCAGTCATCAAAACTTATTTAGCAGTATAAATCTAACTCGGTTAATTAAGGAACCAACCAGAGTTGATATTCGTTCTTCCTCTCTGTTAGACTGGATACTTGTTACCAATCCGGAAAGAATAATCAAATCTGGTGTTATGGCTGACTGTTTAAATGACCATTCTATTATATTTTGTGTTTGGAAAATTAAAATCCCTAGCTCTCCTCCTAAATACATTAGATTTAGACAATGCAAGAATATTAATGTTGACAATTTTATCCAAGATATAATTGCTATTAATTGGGACAGATTTCAGTAATTCCTTTTGTTGAAGATGCTTGGAATTTCTTTCATTCTGAATTATTAAATGTCATTGATAAACAGGGTTGGGTACCGTTCATAATTGAACCGATACGGTACCAGTACCGGTATCTGGAATTCAGTACCGGTACCAAACGGTACCTTTTTTTGGTACTTTTAAAGTCTAAACTTCTCAGTTTCAACATTTTATTGAGAACATTTAGGAACAGTGCTGCACGTTAACTTTTGTCTGCACATTTTTTTTGTCGCCATTGTTGCTGAGTCTGAGGTGCGAGTCATGCGCTCTCGCTCCGCCTCCACCTCAGGTACTGAAATCTGGCACCGATTCATTTTAAGTGAATCGGTACTCGGTAGTACCAACGTGAATCGGTACCAAGTACAAAAACTACCGAGTTTCGGTACCCAACCCTATTGATAAACATACCCCCATGAAAACAATCAGAGTTAAAGGCAGACACTTACCTTGGATCAGTTCTGAACTTGTTAGCCTATTCAAACAAAGGGATATAGCCTGGTCCAAATACCGCTCCTCCAAAAATCCTGTTGACTGGGAAACCTACAGATATCTGAGGAATTTGTGTAAAACTGAAACAAGGAATGGCAAATCTAACTACTACAAAGACAGTCTTTCTCATAATTTTCATAATTCTAGACAGTTTTGGAATCAATTGAATCTTATTCTCAATAAAACTAACAAAAGTCCCATAAACCAGATACATCTTAACAATCAAATTATTTCTGATTCGCTACTCATTTCTCAGGCTTTTAATCAACATTTCTCATCCATCTGTGGTTCCTAATTCAACAACTCATATAACACAGCTTGTTCCCTTAACCCCATTTTTTCCAATAGGTCTTTTTCCTTTAGAAAAATTTTGCCCATTGATGTTTTTCATGCCATTCGTGAGCTAAAACACAGCTGCAGCTCTGGCCCTGATGGTTTAGATACCAAATGTCTTAAAATTGCTGCTGATGTGTTAATGTATCCCCTTGCAGACCAATTTAATCTGAGCCAGATTTACTCCCCTTTTCAAAGCTGGAGATCCAACTGACGTGAATAACTATCGCCCAATTTCTATTATTTGTTCCACTGACAAAATTTTTGAGAA